AACAAATTGACCATTGATATAATTAACCACTGAACTCCAAAGATGCCAGTGATTTCACAGGACTTACACCCTACAGAGCAGTTTCCATATGTGTCTTTGCCTCTCTCACTAGATGTTAAATTTACTGAGGGCAGGGATCCGATGTTTATCTCTCAACTGCTTAGCACAGGGCACATGGTATGTGCTAAAAACTTTGAATGTGTAGATAATTGAGCAAATAAATGAATGAAACTCTTCTCCACTCCAGAGTTCACCATATCAATACCCCAGGGAGTGCGTGTGTTCGTGCTAAGCCACTTCAGTTGTGTCCGACTCTGTGGGACCCTACGGACTGCAGCCCGCCAGGCTCCTCTGTCCATGGGATTCTCCAGGCAAGAACACTGGAGTGGGTTCTTCCCGACCCAGGGATCACACTTGCCTCTCTGACGTCTCCTGCTTTGGCAGGCAGGTTCTTTACCACTAGTGCCACTTGCGAAGCCCCACCCCAGGGAGAGGACCTGCCTTTTGTCCTTCTCATTCATCCCCAAATGTCTTTCAGTAAAAACATCAAAATCAGATGAAACGACAAAGAGAACCAAATTCCTGGCTTTGCTGCTGCTGCTGCTGCTGAGTCGCTTCATCGTGTCCGACTCTGTGCGACCCCGTAGATGGCAGCCCACCAGGCTCCCCCGTTGCTGGGATTCTCCAGGCAAGAACACTGGAGTGGGTTGCCATTTCCTTCTCCACCTGGCTTTGCTAACCCCAAGCAAAAGAAGTGTTCCCTAAATGAACTGACCTTGAGTACTGATCCATTTAGCAAACTGGTAGATAAATCTTACCCCGAGTAAATGATACCCCTTTTCATTAATCAAAGCCCAGTATTCTCTCCGGAATGTTTCCTGGCCAACCTCTCTGAACCTGACCGAGGCCTGAGCCATGCTCTGGAGCCTGTGCACACACTGGGGTACTGAGGGGTGCTGGGCAGGCCTCCTTCCCTAAGATCTGCTAGGTCAGCACGTGATGGCAGGGCGGTTTCTGATCTAGAACCCGCCTGAGCTCTGTGCCTCGGCTTCAGGACCTGCACTGTAATGCATTCCTGGACCCCAGGTGACAGGCAAGATAAGGACGAAGAACAGCTGTATCCAGGCCAGATGACGGGAGCTCCATCTTAGCCAGAGGGGCCACTGCTATCAAATGAATCAGGCTGGAAAACAGTTTGTGAGAACTTATCTCTGCCTTTCCTTCCCCAGAGTGCTCAGGACTGGCGTCTCAACGATTAATTAATTACCAGGCTGGAACATGGCACAAGTCATGGGATCTGCAGGCCTCGGGGGAGACGGTGCGGGGTGGGGGGAGCGGCGTGAGCTCTCAGGCTCAGACAGAACCAGATGATCAACATGAAAACATCAATAAATCTAGGAAATACTTTATCAATACCCATAGCTAACAATGATTGATTACTGATTTTATCTTCCAGTCTCCATGTTAAACCTTTATGTATAGTAGCTCGGAATCATGAGATAGGAGTCACAATCATCCCCATTTCACAGAGGAGAAAAACGAGGCTGAGAGAGTTGAAGGAAGTGGCCTGCTGTGAGAGGTAAGAGTAAGACTCCAATTTCAGTGGCTCTACTGCAAAGCCCACCGAGAACTCCCCAAATTCCAGAAAAGGTTCTCTAGGATAATTTTAGGTTATGGAGCACATTCCAAAAATATCCCCTAGAGTAGCTTTCTTTTTAAAAATGAAAATAGCCTTCATCTGTGCATCTTCTAATCCACGGTAAATTCCAAAAAACCACACAACCTGAAATGGCTAAAATTAATAAGAGACAGCACATGCTCTCATAGTAAGAACTTCCTGTCAAACATGTTAGAAGCATAAGCAAGTCATTTTGCTTCCCTGGGCCCCATTTTTTCAACTATAAAATGAACAGTTAGATGAGGCAATAGTTACACCTTCTAGAAGTGCTATGGTTCTTAGGCAACACTGCCAATGACCTGACATCCGAGCTTTCTTGGGGGTGAGGGTCTGGCAGAGGCTGAGCCCTGAAGCCTTTCTAGAGTATGCACATAGAAATAGATTCAAGACATCCAAGTTCCATTTAGAAGCCCCCAAAATCATCCTTGCCAGTCAATGATTTAGCCAACTCAGCTGGCACAATGCTGATACACTATAAAAACATTTAAGCTGTAATTTATAAACTGATTCCAAATCTTATATTAAGCAACCTGGCTTCTCGGTTCGTTAGAGTTTACCAAATGCTAAGTTCTAAACCTAAAAGTCAAGTCAAATGCAAAAGCAAGTATGAAACACTAAGTCTCTCCCTAGGAGACTTTTTGATAAAGATGATACTGTTTCAATCTCCAAATATAATAACTACTGCTACTTTCCTGTTAATATCACTAGATACTGAATTTAAACAAAACAAATTTTTCAGTCTGTCTATTTTAAAATATAAATTTCACAGAAGGAATTAAAAAATAAGTTTCTTTTTACAAAATGAGCTATCTTTTTCATTAGTCCAAACAGAGGAAATACACATCCGTGTTAAGTACTTTATACGTCCTATTTCTCAAACTCAAATAATTGACAAACCTCCTTCCTAAATTTCACATTTTTTGGTGAGTGGTTCTTGGTCTCTAATCTGTAACTGAATGAATGAATGGTGGTGGTGATTTAGTCACTAAATCATGTCCGACTCTTGCAACCCCATGGACTATAGCTCACCAGGCTCCGCTATCCATGGGATTCTCCAGATCAGAATACTGGAGTGGGTTGCCATTTCCTTCTCCAGGGGATCTTCCCAACCCAGGAATTGACCCCAGGTCTCCTGCATTGCAGGCAGATTCTTTACCGACTGAGCTACTGAATAAGCAGGCTTCTTTGGGGAACGCTGAAGGCAGCCGGCCAGGAATATGGGATTTACTGGACTGAAGCACAGGTCAGCACTCAGTAGATGCCCCAGCAGGTGGAGGTACCATGAAGCCAGGACTGCTGCGTCCTCGGTGTCGGGACCTACAGCCCGTAACAGGGCTGTGCACGTACACAGCAGGATCCCAGCAAACACTTGCAGGATGACTTGGTTGTTAAGTTTTCAGCAGGATTCTCAGGTTTTGCTCTCAGGGTTTTTCCTCCCTAGCAGTAGAATGAGGATAGTAACACATGTCTACCTGGATTTTCACAGGGATCAACTACGAGCAGCTGCTGAGAGCGTCTGCAGAGAGTGGAGCACTGAATCAGTGCTGGGCATCTTTGTCAGCACTTCTGTCCACCTCCAGTCAGGGCACCTGGGTCACACCAACTGCTCACTGATCACGTGCTGACAGACTACATTTCTCCCTCATCCGCTTGATCTTCTGCATGTCTGATGGTTTATTTATAGTTTTATTTTGTATGCAGAAATTTTATTTCCACACTGAAGCAACATCACTTCTTTGTCCCCACTCCCCACTTGGTTCCTAGTGTATTCTTTCTTGAGGCACTTCCACAGTCCAGAACACCAGTGGTAAATGTATCGTGCCCACAGGATTCCTGGCGTCCAGGAGGGCCAGTGTTTAGGCTCCTTTTCCTAAACAACACCAGAGTTCACTGCCTCCCCTGGGCAAGGACATGAATGAAGGGAGACAAGAAGCTGTATAATAAACTTAGCATTTAGGTATGAAGGTAAAAACTCTTCTGAGTTTCTGTTCTTGTCCACTTTGGTGTTTTTTAAATGCCTGACATCCAGGAAGATGACTTATCCCAATGAACTTATGCTTCATTTATCAGCATGAGGTTTAAAGGTAGCCCTCCTCCATTATTGAATTAACAGTTGTATTTGAAAGATATGTTTTATCCTCAGAAACCAGTCACAAAGATCCTACCTAGTCCTTAAAATTCTGATTTAGTGATTTCATAACAGAAACTTTTAAAACAAGTCCTTCTCTGTTGCTTTCATGTCTACTCCAGAGCTTCGCTTAAAGATCTCTTGTTACAGAACCCACGCCTGTATCTAATATCATGGCAGCCAGGACAAAGAAACCCAAGATGAAAAATGTGACATTGTTCCCACTGATGTGACTTCATTAGAAGCAAACACATCAAAACCTCCATAGGTGCCAGCCTTGTGTCAAAGGCGAGGACAATGTCAAAAGAAATCTCTAGGTTGTGTCCACTAGCTCCACTCCCCCCCCAAAAAACCCCACAATGTCTCTTTTATTCACTTAAACATGCTTCACAGTTTGGTCATCTACAGATTCAACCATGTAGTTTGGACACTGGAATGCAGAGAATAAGATGTGATTGGTGAAATACAAAACACATTAGAGAACCATGCACAGACCACTTGGAAACCCGAAGATGACAAGATGCAGGACCGGAGAAAAGGGTCCTCTGGGTTTCAGAATGAATCCATATCACACCCAGAGGCACAGGGCTATTGCATCAGGCACTTTACTATGGAGCACCATTTCAGACTAGACCAGGTGGATTGTGGTGCTGCCCTAAAAAAAAAAAAAAAAAAAAAAAAATCCCCTTTTGTCAATTCTACACTGATTTCAAATACACGAACAATCTACACTACATGGTAGTATCTGTGTGGCTTTGGGTCTCTGTAAAATAAACCTGATCAACACCAGCCGAGGGTGGGGCTTTGGAGGCTGTGTACTTGGGACTTCTGGGGTGCCACCCCGAGCGGCACAGGATGAAATCCTCTCCACCCAGAGCACCCTGTGGGCACCCGGGGTGACTACCCCAAATCCTGCACAGAGCGTGTAACAAAACTGGTTAGAGATTCAACGCGGGCAGAGCTTAGTTCCCGCTGAGGATCCGAAGACCCGGCCAAGGATTTACCAAGTCCCGACAATAACGTTCGGTTTTAGGAGGATCGGAGCGGCTCTCAACTTTAGATCCCTGACACGGGTCGCAGGGTGACCGTGCATCTGACAATCGTAAGGGCTCGCGACGGCCCCAAGATCCGCAGCCTCCTCCAGGGCGCGGCGGGGACCGGAGTACCCGCGCGCTCAGAGGCGAGGGCATTTACCTCGAGTCGGCTAAGACTGGAGCTCTTGGAGCGCGACTTCTTGCGCAGGTACACGGAGAAGAACCTGCGCACCGTGAACTTCTTCATGCTCAGCTCCATCGCCCAGCGCCCAGCCGCGAGGAGCCGCAGGGCCGGAGGACGCGCATCCCCGGCGCATCCCAGGCGCGCGGGGTCAGGTCCGCTCGCGGGCGCGAGCGGCCGGGGAGCCCGGGACGGAGGCCATCGGCGCGGGGCGCGGGCGGCGGGCACAAAGGGCAGGCCGAGCCGGCCACAGCGGCCGGGGACCCAGCGCTCCCGCCTCCTCCCTCCTCCTCCTCCTCCTTCTCCTCCTGGTCCAGCCTGCGAGGACCAGCCCCGGGCAGCCCCGCCCCTCCGCGCCCCGCCCACGGCCACTACTGCCAATCAGCGCCCGCCGCTCCGTCCGGCCTCCGCCACTACGACCAATCAGAGTCTGCCGCCCCGGGCTCTCCCCTCCCCCTCCTCCTCCTCCTCCTTGTCCAGCCCGCGAGGACCAGCCCCGGGCAGCCCCGCCCCTCTGCGCCCCGCCCACAGTCACTATCGCCAATCAGAGCCCGCGGCCACGCCCGGCCCTCCGCCACTGAGGCCAATCAGAACCTGTCGCCCCGATATCTTCCCTCCCCCTCCCCCTCCCCCTCCCCTTCCCCCTCCTGGTCCAGCCTGCGAGGACCAGCCCCGGGCAGCCCCGCCCCCTGAGCCCCGCCCACAGCCACTACCGCCAATCAGAACCCGCCGCCCCGCGCCCTCTGCTACTACGGCCAATCAGAGCCTGCCGCCCCGGGCTCTCCCCTCCCCCTCCTCCTCCTCCTCCTCCTCCTCCTCCTCCTCCTCCTCCTCCTCCTCCTCCTCCTCCTCCTCCGGCCCGGGAGAACGAGCCCCGGACAGCCCCTCCTTGCCCCGCCCCCCATCACTACCACCAATCAGAACCCGCCGCCACGCCCGGCCTCGCCCACCTCCTCGTTCCCCTCCACTGCCACCAATCAGCGCCCAGCGCCCCACTGCCCCAGGCTCTCGCTTCTTCTCCCCGCCCCCTCCTTCCGCGTACGCGCTCGCTGTGGCTCCGCCCCCACCACCCCTTCCGCCAATCAGCGCCCTCGGCGGCGCATCCCCTAATGAGCCCGCGGAGGGGACCGCGGCGAGCTGCGCGGCTGCTCAGCAGTAGCGACTGTCGCGCTCTCTCTCGCTCTCTCGCTCTCTCTCTCTCGGCCTGCTTGGCTGTTTCCCTAGGTTGGGGTGTCATTATGTTTTCTTTCCTTAAAGCATCCATATAAGGACTTGGCCCTCATGCGTTTCTGTACAGAACAAAACTTTGATTGCTGATTAGCAAACACTTCTAGAAAACGGAACAAAACGGGGTGGAGGGTGCGCCAGGAGCCTGCACACGTGAGCTCTACACCGCTCTTCGCCCCTTGGCCCCAGCAGCTCTCCCCTTGAGCGCGTCCCCGCAGCCTGGGCGCCCGACCTGGACCGCCAGTTCTTGTCCGATTATGAGTGGACCCCCGCGCAGCCCAGGGCGGCCGCAGCCAGCTGGAGAAGCCTCCGCGGCTGTGTTTGGAGAACAAAGACATACATCCGTTCTCCATGACCTCCGACTCCATATATAGAAAATTACCCAAACGGAAGATTTATCGGGCGTCCTGAGTGTCCTGAGTCAGGGCCCTCAGAAACCAGCTGCTGGCTGTAGGGCTGCAGGGGATTTGCCTTAAAGGGGAACACAGTTTTCCGCACCCCCTACCCCCCCACACCCCCCATCCCCCCACCCCCGCCACCAGAAATGCTCATCAGAGGGCTGGAAGCCGGTTCAGATTTGTGACCTTTAGACTTTGTGCAGCCTTTTCTGTTTTCCTTTTGTGCATTGTCCACGTATTTTTGTTTAAAACACGGACCAGACAATCTCATTAACAAACTACCACCACGCCCTGAAAAGTCCAGAAGCATCCGTTCACGTGGCGCTGTGTGACAAGTACTGCTTTGCCAGGCAGATTGTGAAAAATCTACATGTCATATGATCCCCTGGCTGAATCAAAGGCTACATTAATACTGGTGTCAGGCTATCTTTGCTACAGCGAGTAAACAGCGGAGGCTCCCAGAAAAGAACTGGTAAGTTCATGCTGCATCTGGGTCAGCAGGTGAGGTCAGACACTGTGGGGTTTAACTGGGGTAAGCACAGTCAGTTTAGCATCAAGATGCTGGCACTGCCATTTCCTTGCTGGATGAGCCTGAGCACACTTGCATGTTCTGTGTTCCCACTGTGCATCTCTAAGATGAAAATAGGTCCCGAACCAGGTCCTGCTTCCTGCAAGGATTCTGCTTGGGGGCCATTATCCCTACTCTGCAGAGGAGCTTCCTACCACCTTGTGTCTCCTGCCAGCACCACTCAGGCATCCCAGCTCTAAGCAAACAAAGACAGGCCAGGGCTGTGCCATGTGGCTGCTCTGGCAAAGACAGCACTTGATGGACAGCAGACATCGGGCTGGTCACTGGCTCCAGGAATGAGAAAGGGGCCGGCTGTGGGTAGATGATACAACTAGTCAGACACAGGATTATGGCTTGCCAGCGATGCTAGCTCAAGGGCACCCTGTGTAAGACAAACACCTGGGGTAGGTCCAGATCAAGGCTTGTGTTTCACCAACAAGAGCATTTGACCTGTTGTAACAAGATAGGAAAGACATTGTCTATGGGACATTCAGGATCCCCCATGTTTGAATGCTACAAAAGGGCTCTATTTCACCTGGACATCTCAAAAGAAAAAGAAAAGTAGCTTTCATATTTCAACTGAGGAATTTATTTCATTGCTAGAACAAGTCTGTTTGCTTTTGTCCCGGTAAAACAGAGATATATCAAAATCTCTAGCAATCATTTGCCACCACTGTGTATACTAATGCAACCAAACCCTCCAGATCAGCAAATCTTGGGTAGGTATCAGGGCCCACTTTAACCTGACTCCAAGCGATTCCTAGCAAATATTGGGAAAGAAAAGATGAGCTTAATAAAGGCTAGTGCCCAGATGATAGAGTGGGGAGGCTTGGAGAGAAGACCAAGAACTCAGAAACCCCTGATTACCCTGAGCTTCTTCCTGACTTAAGCATGATCCATCTGGGACTGAATTCAGTGGCCACCGCTGCTTCTAAGAGAGGACCAGACTGGTCGGTGTGCATTCACATGGATTGAACACAGGATTACGGAGCTCCTCTGAGTACCTGGCCCTGTGCTTTGCATGCGGGAGTACTATGTGATTACAACACGGCTCCTGACCTCCAGAAGTTCACAGCTGTGTGCTCAAGGAGGAAAATGAACAGACAAATCTGATGTAGGTCTTACATAACGTGGAAGAAACATGTAAAAAAAAAATGCTCCATGAACAGAGATGAACGAAGAGTCGACCCTAACTGGAGAAGCCAAGGAGGAGGGCGCTTTGGGGTGAGCTCTGGGGACAAGGAGCCGTGTTCTGTGCAGACAGAGGAGGTGAGGTCCCAGACTGGAAGAGCAGGGTTAATGAGAACTTGAAACAAATAAAATCTCATGATTGATTAATGAAAACTAAAGTTTGTACCAAGTCCCGGAAATACGGAAGGCAAAGGATTTGAGAATCCCAAGGATAATAACCGGGAACGGTCCTTCTCTGAGAACAGGCCACCCTGGGCAGGAAGGGGAGGCAGGCTTCTGTCAGGAAGGTAACTGGAAAAGTCTGTGCCCTCTCACCTTGTTTCCCTCTGCCCAGAGGGCTTTCAGGGATTCGGAGGATGCCCCCTCCTTTACTTCAAACCCTGCCAAGAGAGCTGTGATGTCTGGGGGTCAGGATTCTGCAGGAGAGAGCAGGGCAGCCCCAGCCCCAGGGAGGCCCCAGGAGGGGCTGCTCGCAGAGTGGCCTGCGTCCCAGAGCCCGAGCAGAAAGGATGTAGCAGTGTCTCCTACACACGGTGGCCCAGCGGTGAAGAACCCGCTTGCCAACACAGGAGATGTGCGTTTGAATCCTAAGCTGGGAAGATCCTCTGGGGTAGGAAATGGCAAGCCACTCCAGTACTCTTGCTGGAGAATTCCATGGACAGAGGAGCCTGGCGGGCTTTAGTCCATGGGGTCACAAAGAGCTGGACACGACTGGGCAACTGAGCACACACACAAGTGGTTCTTAGCCCAGGGGCCCAGCAGAATCACACAGAAATGCTCTCTAGAGAAATCTGCTCTAAACCCAGGATTCAAAGAATTCCTTGCATAGAGCTTCCAGGAGCTCACAGCCACTGAACAGGGACACAGGGAGGGGGTCAGCAAAGTCAGCAAACAGCCAACTACAGAATCAGACGTGCGGACTTTGGCTCTTGGACTTAACCAGGTGTCGGGTATAAAATGAAATTTAATGTGTTTAAGGAAATAAAAGAAATGAAAATAGGATCAACAGGACTTCCCTGGTAGTCCAGTGGTTGAGAATCTGTCTGCCTGCCAGTTCAGGGGACACGGGTTCGATCCCTGGTCTGGGAAGATCCCACATGCCGCGAGGCAGCTCGGCCCGTGACCTCTAGAGCTCCTGAGCCTGTTCTCTGGAGCCCACTCTCCCCAGCAAGGGAGGCCACTACGGTGAGCCTGAGCACCGCACCAAGAGAGTAGCCCCCGCTTGCCGCAGCTAAAGAAAGGCTTCCACGAAGCAGTGAAGATCCAGTGCAGCCCAAAATTAAGTAAGTACATAAATATATATTTTTTAAAGAAAATATGATTAAGAAACAAGAGACTCTAAAAATGAACAAAGTAACTCTGGAAATGAGACGATGCAGTCTGGACACCAAACAGGTGCAGCTGAATATAAACATCCTCCTTATCAGAGAGCAAGTTCAATGCAGCTACGGCGAGGTGAGCATGACCTAAAGATGCCGCGGTGAGAAGCACTGCATTGTGGAATGTACGTCAGAAGGGGAAACATCTGGAATGACGTTCCTACTCACTCTTCCAATTATGACTGTGCTGAAATCCTCTGAGCCTCTAGAACTGGGGCTGACTTTGTCATAGGGTATAGTTGGCAACGTCTGGGGACAATCTGGGGCCTCACAACTGGGAGTGATGGGAAGGCTGCTGCTGGCATCTCGAGGGCAGAGGTTGGGGACACTGATGAGTCTCTGCAGCACACAGGACATCCCCACAGAGGATGAGCCCGTGCAGAACTCGCCAAGGCCGAGGTGAGAAAGACCCCTCTGCGAAACCTGTCTACCTTGCTCACAAGCTCATCACTGCAAAACCGGCAATCCACGCAGGAAACCAAAATGAGGAAGTGCTCCATAAATTGTAAAGTGCTCAACAAAGACATTATTTGTTAAAATCCTAGAGTTCCACCCAGGAAGATCAATGACATGCCCGGGAAAGGAGTAGCCCCCCACTCCATGTTCTAGAATGCTAATCTGGAAGCTTGCTCCATCGGTCTGTGTCATCCAGTGTAGGGCACGGCCAGTCACCCCATCACCCGAACCAGAGGATGAGACCGCCAGCCACTGTGTCACGAGTGGGTTCCGTGTGCAGTGACTCCGACTCGCCGTGATACTGCCTCCACAGTGTTCCTGTCTCCCTGCTTTCCAGCTGTTCTCCCCAGAGTATGGTCCTTCAGGGCTCAAGACCGGGCCCCGCAAGCCACCCGCAGCCTGCCGACCAGCGTGACCTTTCTAGAAGCAGAGCCCGAGGGGTGGGGAGTGGATTCTCCTACATGCAGCACCTCTCCTCCTGGGCCCGCCGCGCCCACACCTGTGTGCATAGGAGCATCCAGCCTCCGTGGGGCCACGGCCACTGCCAGGGCATCCTTCCTGCCCCCTCCCACCTCCTTAAGATTCAGCATTGCTCCAGGAGGCCTACTGAAGTCTGTGCCCCACAGGTGGTGCCAGGGCGTCCTCCCCGGGGTCCTTATTACCCTAACCTGCTAGATAACCACTCCTGGCCTCTGTTAGCCTCTCACACCCACGTGGACACACTCCAGATGGCCACTGTGCATGGCACCCTGACACGCTGGCTTAAAGGGATTTGGTGATGACTGTTGAAGATATGGGCCTGCATTATCATTCCATCTCTGTGATACACTGTGAATGCTATGAACCAGACGTAGTGAACTCATTTATGAGGTGGAGACACTGAGGCC